TTGTTATTGATTGGATATAGCTCAAGTTGCAAGTATTGTGAATGATCTATTGATCCGTTTAAATGATGGAAGCTATCATCTTTGAGATATGGTCAAAGATATGCGGGCCTCTCATCAGGTGCAGAATTCTTGAGCATTATGCATGTCTACATTCCATCTGTAGACATGGCAATAATTAAAATGAAGATGTGCACATTTCAAAGAATACAATGTGCTCCACCTGAAAAAATGTGTAGAAATTCTACAAATGCTAACTTTGGCAGCATGGGGGTGGATTGTGGGTGGGATAAGTTCTGTTGCTCTGGCTCCCGCTAGCACACCTGCTTCATTGATTCTGGCTCAAAGTAAACCTTTCCCCCTTCAGAACTATATTATGCAAATGTTTGCAGATTTAACCAATAAACTGGCTAACCCACTAAAGCAAACAAATCAACTAAATTTCAGTCAGCCCTAGTTTCAAACAAAGTCTTCGGGATCATGTTACCTTCCATCTCATCTGTAACTTTCATTCAATGCATGTTAATATTCTATGTAACTCTGCGTATCAGCTCCACGACAAAGGGTAAAGCCACAATTTAATATGCATTGAAGGTAACCCTGCATTTCCTCCCGTAATGCTCTACAAAAGGTTTTGTGACATAATTGCAAAGCTGCCTTGGCAGATTGCTCTACAGTATAATTTTAGGTGTCTCAGTAGATTACTTCTCCAATAAACCAGCCTCCATAACCAAATGATAGTGGGTTCTTGTCACAATACTATGATGGTAGAGGGCTGTTCTGTCATTTAGAGGCTTCAGATGTTATTGTCAAGTAGCTTCATAGAAATTGGAATTCTGTGGAAAGTTATGGTATCATTGCCTTCTAAAACATCCTGCTTTTAAGCAGAACATGTCAATCACTGCTTTAATAATATAAAAGTGCAGCAACCATTTTAAGGGAAAAGCTGTATGGAGCTCAGAAACAAAGCAAAATAAGGTTTACAGTAAGCATGACAAAAATACCAAGTACAGTAATGAAAGTGATTTAATTAATTAGTTGGAGGGTTGCTGAAGAAAGGTAAAAACAAGGATGCAGAAAAGGGGAGGTATGGGGAAGTCCGCAAAGCAAGGTGCATGAAAACAAGATTATGAAATTATACATGTTTATATGTTTGTATGTTCTGTTTTGTTTATTGTTTGCTTTAGTTATGTGTTTGGAAAACCAATAAAAATTTATATATATATAAAAAAACAAAAATACCAAGTACAGAAAACAGGAGCTGCATTAATTTACTCTAAAGTTGCACATTAACACAATCAGAACTTTATGTAGGCATCTTTACAGTATTTGCAGTTTTCATATTTACTGTGCTGGATTCAAACAAATGTGATTTTAACGATTTTCCTCCCATGCTGAAGAGGGATCCTTTTTCAAGGAAGGTTCTTTCATATGGTTAAGGGTTTGTGCTTAGGAAGTGTAATTTGATCTTAACAGGACTGAAAAACTTTGTCTCAACACATTATAGATTTGAGGGTCTGTTTTATAGTTCTATCCAGAATGGCTGTCTATGCCTCCTGAGAGATAGTGGATACCCTTTGCTGGCTCTGTGCCAGCAAACAGCACTATAGCATTGTCTAATGATAGAAAATAAACATGGTCACAGAGGCTGAGTCAAAACATGTCCCAACTTGTCTGCTTGATGCAAGAAGGACCCCCTCCCCAACCTTTTGGCAATTCTTTGCTAACACCTGTAATAGCAGGTGTGGGAAAACTTTGGCTGAACTACAGCTCCCATTGGCCGTATTTATTGGTAAAGCTTGCTGGGGTTGATGGGAGCCATAGTTCAGCAATATCTGGAGGACCAAATGTTCCCCACGCCCATATAATTGGAACTGCTTATTCATGTTAGCAGCAGTGATGGTGTAACAATGCTCACTTCTGCTACACAGTGGTAAAATCTGAAATGGTAGATATTTGATAGGCATCTTCAAATATCTAAAGGGCTGTCCCATGGAGGATGGAGCAAGCTTGTATTCTCCTGCCTTGGAGGGTAGAACCTGAACCAACGGCTTCAAGCTACAAGAAGGGAGATTCCGACTAAACTCCAGGAAGAACTTTTTGTCAGTAAAAGCTGTTTGACAGTGGAGCGGACTCCCTCAGGTGGACTCTCCTTTCTTGGAGGTTTTTAAGCAGAGGTTGGATGGCCATCTATCATGCTTTAGTTGAGATCCCTGCACAGCAGGGGGTTAGGCTAGATGACCCGCAAGATCCCTTCCAACTCTACAATGATTCTATGTGGCATCATCATGAAGTGGACACAATGCTTTCTGCCCTAACTGACACAGAATAATGGGGAAATGGAGTCAAGAAGTAGTAGGATTTGCAAATGCTGCCAAGGCTGTAAACAGGAGTCAAAGCAAACGGGTTGAGGAAGGAAAACTTAAACTCCTTCACCCACCTCCCAAAACTTCTAGAAACAGTGTTCATCATAGAATACTATTCAGCTTTAATATAAATTGCCAACAATCTAAAGGTTAAACTAGATGGTGTGCAGGAAATCTAGAAGCAGATCCCCATTCCACATATACCTTTTTAAACAGCATACTAGGGTGGGAGGTTGAACTCAATACATTTTCCTCAGCAGGGCAAATAGCTTGTGGGGTGGGTGGAATTTTAGTGAGAGAAATGGCAGAAAGGGCTAAGCAACCCTCCTCCCTCAGCAAAAACAAATTTTGTTTCCAGAGTTGTTGCTACTTAAAATAAAAAGTTAATTTTTTTCAAATGTATAAGCTTCTGGCCCTATTTGCATTCAGACACTAGATCACAGGATCAAGTCTATAGGTCCCCATTATATATTTGCATGGGGAAAACCTATCAGCTTGCACCAGCAGGCAGCCTTATCCCAGTCCTGCAGGCCAGCATTCCTCACCTGCAGAGCAGATGTATCTTGTGAATACCTTATTCAATAGGACACAACAGTCCCTTAAGGGGCATCTTACTGGCTGTTTATCAGCCCTAGAGCCTGAAACAGTGCAATAAGACAACACTGCTTCCTTCCTATCAGCAAATGGCTACTGAAAGATAGGGCAGACAGGATGTGGCTTTATAGAGCAAAGTAAAGTTTATCTTGCAGCAGCTAAACTTCAACCACAGAAGTCTGCCAGATATAGTTCTTAAATTTACAGTTAATTAAAAATTAGCATGCTTGTTGCTGACTTTGTTATAAATTCCCTAGCAAATCCACACCCTTCAAGCTTATGGAAAGAATTGAATGCAAGGATATGGCATGCTAACAATACTACAAAAAAGGAATGTTAAAGCAAACTTGCCTAATTTTTGTAGTGAACATGATCAGCAAACAGTAATAGCCTCAATAAGAAACAATGAGAAATATTAAGAGCAATCATCTTCATGTTCAAGTAAGTATAGGTTGCAATCTTAAGTTACCGGTACTTTTAAAAAATTGGATGGGAAATCTTGGGAAGGTATAAATATATTCAGTTCGTTGCTGCTGAAGCCTATGCATTTTATCTGTGTTTGCTTCAAACAGCTTGTGTCACAGAACCACGTTTATTTATCAGCTAATGGTCAGGGGTCCCTTTACCCTTTACCTTTGTCTTTCAGATTCCCCCCCCTACAATCCCCCCCCTTTTCAATTTCTCTTTCCCATCATTCTTTTGACTTACTTTACTACATCATCATAAGGATAACTGACAATATATGAGAAACATTGCAGATGTGCTAAGTACACCTGCTAAGTAGCAGCTATACTGCAGCAAAATGCTCAACTGAGTTCTTGGAAGTTTTTCCTTCTCACTCGCACTAGCTGCACAGTTCACCCTGACAGAGACCAACATGGATTGCTAGGTGAATATTGCTCAAATACAGACCCCTTTACAAGGGGCCAACAAATAACAGGGAATTTGCATCTCCCCACCTCCCCCCCAAGAAAACTTCAACTTTTTTCATGCTGCACTGGTTTTGTTTTTTTAAGTTCACAATGTTACAGAGAAAGCAATCAGAGCTGTAACATCTGAGAGGTTATCTATTACTATGCATGAAATAAAGCTAGATTTAATTCACCAGTGGCAACTTGAGGGTGATCTCTAAAGAAGATAGTTATCTGATGCAAAAGCATGTATGTTATATGGTACAGGGACTACATAAAGTTAACATTTACGAACATCCTCTAAGAAATACCCTGGTTTTGAAAGCACTGGAGCAAATGTTATGCTGAACCACCCTGAGGAGAGGGAGAAAATACTTGCTGTAAGAACTGGAGATTTCATTAAGATCAAAGTAACAATATTTATTGCATTTTTAGATTGCATTTTAAAACAGTAAATTAATAGTGCACAATGGCTTCACTTGAACCTTCTGAAAAGTGGGAAATCAAAAGCCATAACCCCCTCTCTACTTCGTGAATAGAGTGCAGGCTAATGTGCTTCTCCAAGGGGCAATATTTAGTTTAATAAATTGCCATCCCTGTGCTCTAAATACACTTGAATTAGTGCTCCTTGTACACTAAATCCATTTATTTTAAATTTGTTTTGTCTACATTGAGTGAAATAAAAACATCGCTCTGTACAATCCACTATGAGCAGTGAGTACAACAGCAAAAAGTATCATACAGTTTATACACACTAAATTTCTTCCCATTTCTCCTATAAAGGAACCAGATCAAACCTAATCAGTATGTAACTTAATTTGGAAGAACTCAAATTACAAAAGGGAAGGCCAAATATTACAGCCCATAACTGTGCCCAGAAAAAAGGTTCCTGATCATATTAGTTGGAACATGAATGAATGCAGGTGGAGAAGTAAAGCATGCCAAAACTGTGTTCTCAGGTCTTTATAAATTCACCAAATATTTAAATTAAACATGGCTCTTTAAAGAAATGTCCAAAGCAGAGCAGTATTTTTGGAAATTCAGTCTTACCAGCTGTGTTTTTCTTGTAACCCAACGTATACAATGCGCAAAGTGATAAGCAACACTACAGAAAACACATTTACATCAACACTGAAGATCCGGGGAAATGAAATTCCAACAATTTTATTTTTTAATGAGCTGTATTTTCTAAATTTGTTTTTATTTTATTTTTTCCTGTTTTCATACAGTATTGAAAACAAAACGCGGCACATTCACATTTTCCCGAGGAACTGTAAGGATGATTTCTACTGGGATAAACGCTGAGAAGCTTGAAGCTCAATCATTTTGATGTTGAAAAACTCTCCGAAGGAGAAAAGGCTTGATCTGAATGATCTAGAACATGTATTGTAATTTAATAGAAGAGATGGTCGTCTTAATATTTAATGATTTAAAAGAACTTCCCAGTTCATGCGAAGAGTATAGTCCAAGAATAAATCATATTTGCGGAACACATTTTATGCTACGTAAGTGTATACTTTGCGGTCCTCAGGTGTTCGTGCCAAATATTCACGCTCAATAAGTCCTTCAATACGCTTTTTAATAACAACTGGACTTGGTAGGAATCGTGCCTTCAGTTGTTGGGTTACCTGGAATAAAAAATATTTTAATATTGTTAATTATACTGGCACAGCAAGAATGCACACACTAGACTTAACACTGACTTTAAAACAAGAAGGAACTTGTGCCACCTCAGTTAGCTGTCTTTCACAAAAGGCCACTGCATATTAATCAACATTCTATAAAGCAACCAATCATCTGTATCAAAAGATGTAGTTAGTAGCCTCAAGAGTTCAGCAGCAATTTATTTTTATTACACAGTTGACACTGCTCTAAAGCAGAGGTGGCTAACCCTTTTGGTCTGCGGGCCACATCCACCTTTGACTAACCCCATTCAGTGAGTGAGATTACCTCTGCTACTAGAACATTATGCTGCATCTTCTTCCTAGATTTCATTATCCGGACTATAGCAGCCTCTATCTCATGTTTTCTGTCATCATCTACTTTCTGTCTTGTTTCTTTTCTTTCTGGGTCCGATTCTCCTTGTTTGGCAGCAACTGAAAGAACAGAAGAAATATCTCAATTTAGAAACACTGCAGCTATTTAATTCTAAAGATACTGAAGCCAAAATATTTTTCTTTAGCAGTGTCAATAAATACTTGAAACAGAATATGATGCAAAAGGACAACCAGCCGAAGTGCAAAATTGGAACATATTTAAGATTAATAAATGATTATCCGTTACAGCAACAAGTTTTAAAACAGGTCAAATGCTTCTTGAGGGATTTGATATTTTTAGACCACAACTGAAGCATTTAAAAGGTTCCTTCACATTTGTTAAATTGCAATTCTGGATAACACTGGGTTTCATATATTCATGGAAATAAGTTATATAATACAACCTTTGGGGCTAGTTTAGCTTGCTTTGTTGAAGTGCCAGTTTCTACTGAGATAGTAAGACAACTGGGTCTTTGCATCTGCTATAATCATGAAGCTTTCCTAGCATAAGTAGTTCAGCATTGTCTGTTATAACATGCTTTTTCTATCTGCATAGCCCTACATCTGTAGCTGCTGTCAGTGGATCTTTAGCCTACTTCTTCATTTTAGGCTTCCATTTCCCTTCCAATTTGGATCCATCTCCATTTTCATTTTGTATGAGTATCCTGTGTATCACTGGTAATCAGTTTAACTATATACTAGTCAAGAAGAAGGGATAAGGCTACCAGGGTTTATTAGCTATGATGGTTTATGTTCTCCCTCCACTGTTGGAGGCAGTATGCCTTAGAATACCAGTTGCTGGGAATTACAAGCGGAGAGAGTGCTGTTGCATTCAGGTCCTGCTTGCGGCCTTCCTATAGGCATCTGGTTGGCTATTGTAAAAACAGGATGCTGGACCAGATGGGTCTTTTGCCTGATACAGCAGGGCTCTCATGTCTGAAGTAAATGAAGGCTTTAAGGATGTGCAAGCATAAAGCTCACAAAATATATGCCCGGTTTATTAAGTTAAACACCCACCTGGAATTATAAGGCCATGGCTTTATGAATATTTATATTATCCACAGTACATGACATGGAAAGGATCACAAACAGAAGATACATAACAGAATCCCATCCAGCTTGCACTGAGGCAAGCATTGGTTCAAGAATATATTAGTTCCTTGAAGGCACCCCTAAGAATGGGTGACCAGTTTAGTTTCCATACTAGAATGTATGATTCCAATATTGTAAATTCAGGAGTTGGACAGATTCTAGACGTGGTAGCTGAAAATGAAAGTGAGCATACCTGTTTGAATCTTGACTCTGTGCAGTTTGGATGTGAACTGGTCATTCACTGTAAATATGTGTCCATTTTCTATTTCTTTTGATTTCGGCTCTTTTGTGAGAACCCGTTGTGTTGGCTTTCCACACGCAAGGGACTGTAGCGCTCGTACAAGCTCTCTTTCAGGGATATCAGTCTCTTGTTGTATTTCCTACATTAAATTTAACAGCCAGATGGGTGGGGTATAAATAATAAAGTTATTATTGTTATTATGATGGCAAAAGGTAGTTATGAAGAAAACAAAATTCTGAACAGTTTTGGAGATGTCTTCCCCCTCTAATCAAACTAGTTCAAGACTATCAATGGTTATTTTGACAAATTCAGAAAACATCTGGCAGTAAATCTATATATAATTCATAGCTGAAAAGGCTATTTAAAGAAAAAGTGAAAGTTACTCTAGACTGTAAAAGTTGACAGCATTGTGTTTTAGCACTTAATTTTATCACTTAATACAGTAATCTATATAAACTTCAACTGTGCAAGTTACTGTAGCACAGGACACCTTGTTCACAAATCTGTAGAGGAGTAGGATGATCTATATGTTCAGCATATAGGAAGCTTTACATATACCAAGTGAAACTAGTGGTCCATTTAGCTTAGTACTGTCTATTCTAACTGACAGTGGCTCTCTATGGTTCCGGACAAAGGTCACTCCCAGCCCTACCTGGAGATACTGGGGATTGAACCTGGGACCTTTTGCATTAAAGGAATGTGTTCTACCACTGAGCCATGGCCCTTCCCTCTTGGCACAGGTGTGCTGAAGAGTCCCTCTGAACTATACCACTTCAGACTCCAGGTAGGAGGTAGGAAGTAGTGAGAGTTCCTTGTAAAAGTCTTCCTTACTATAAAGAAGCACTGAAAGAAGGCTGCTAGAAACCCTTCCCAGATTCCCTCATTTTCTACATGTAAGGAGTTTTCTTTTTAAATGTGGGGGGAGCATTCAAAAATGCAATTCCTGCACCTGCAGACTTAAGCGTTCCCGTCCAGGAAATACTCTTGTCACTTGAACATGGTGCTCAGCAATTAGTGTCTATATAAGAACAAGATTTTTTACAAAATATATTAAAACATCAAACTAGAAAAGAATGGTAATTGCTTGATTACAGGATTGCATTTCCTTTGATTTAAATATAATTTTAAGGGGAAGTAGCAACTAGACTTCCTGTCTACAAACTGTTAACATTCAGGCTGCTTGATTTTGTTTAATTTCACAATGTATCAATTCACCTTGTGTGGTGACACTTAAAGAGTACTTTCAAAGTACTACTGTCACACACACATGGTGGCAAGATGGTAAATAAGGATTTGTTTTCCACATCATTACATAGCAAGTAAAAAATGAGTTTCCATTAGGAAAAATACACACCATGAAAAAGATGTGATTACTATCAGTAAATACTGTAAATAAATATATTTGGGCTTCCAACACTTGAATTTCACCCAACACAATTCAAAGGAATTTTAAAATCTTCCTTGAATCACAGGGCTTTGAAACATATAAATTATTTTTAGAGCTGAACCCAAGAAGTATTTAAGTATATAATGAATGATACAATCTCAGACTTTCACTAACAAGTGAGGGTATTCCTGGATGAGGACCAATAAGATTCCAAAATACTCTAAAAGTGTTAGCAGCCTCATATATCAATAGTTCAAGAACTTCCTGTACAAATGGCTCAAAGGGATGAATAATCCCTCTTCTCCATACGGTAGAGGAAGATGAATGCATATTTGGGAGATAAAATTTTTACAGCTAGCAGAGAAAGTCAAAGCTCATACCTCAAAAGTGTATTTTTCTCTGTTGTTAAAGAGCATTAGTATCGTCATCTGGAAAGTGGAGACTTGCAATATGTGCTTCCGTGTGTTAGAGCCAGTTACTTGGGCGCCTCCTACACCAACCTCTGAGCCATCTTCCTGTTTTAATTTTCAAAAAAGTCAAAAATCATTCTCGGAACATTATGTTATGCTCCTTCTTTCAGCTTTCTATGTACTTACTATAAGGTATAAGTCATGATCTGACTCATCTGCTTGTAAATACAAAACAAAGATTTTCGTTTTGAGATACTCATTCCGTTTTATCCCAGTTTATATAACCACAGCTTCTGATACGCCACAGCTTCTCAAAGTGAACTATAATTCCACTGAGAGCCAGAAGCAAAGGAAGCCTGCCAGAAAGATGAAAAGATGAAAATATATATATTTTCAGAGAGTGCTATTCTGGGAAATTTGCAGTGCTAGATGGGGTGTGTGTGTGTGTATAGATATTATACACACACACACACACACACACACACACACAGCTGACTATATATATTAAAAGTGGTAAGTATTGTTAACATGAGCTTATATATGAAATACTGAAATGTATGTGGAACTGAATTTTATTTCCAAGTTCACAATAGCTGAAGGCACAATTCAAAGCAATAATATGTTTACAGACACAGCTCTTACCTTTTTAACAGGACCATAGAAGGTGGCATTGAGATCTGCAGAGCCCATATGATGCTGGAGTGTCAGCTGCCTTCCACTATGTTTGGCTAAATAAAATCTACAAAATTCAAGAAGTTGAATGGCCATTTGATCATCTATACTTTTAACTATGGAAGCAAGAGCTTCTTCTATATCAATATAGAAGATTACTACTTTGTGACTGATAACATGGCAAGCAAGCTTCAACTGCATGCATATAAAGAAGTATTTAATGCATGCAGATTATCTGGCCATTAGCTGTATCTTCTTTCTTTTTTAAAAAACACATCATTCCACTAACCATTCACACAAATAAACTTAACCATTCCTTACCTCCTAAATATTTCAAAAGCATGTCTGGGGGCTGGGGGAATGTTGCACTTTGGTGTGGCCGACTGAGTAGGCCAGTAGCCTGTTGTGAGAACCCGCACTGTCAGATCAACACCACCTAATGAGACCTGCATGAATACAAAGACAAACATTTGTTGTTGTTTTTTTGTCTTCCACATGGCAGCAAATAACATAGCTTGCTATTTAGGATAGAAGTGGCTGCCTTAATTTCATTAAACAAACTAATTAGAAGCTGGTATTCAAGGGTGTAGGGTACAGCAGAAAAACTTGTATGTGCAAAGTGAGCCTTAGGTGGAAGCAGGAGACTTTACACTTTCTATGAAATGCAGAAGGGTATAGGAGGGCAACCCAGACACATGGAGATAATCGAGAGGTTTTCTGGTGGGAGGAGAGTGTCTGTGAAGGATGTAGTGAAAGTAGTATGAAAGTAGTAGTAGAAGGATGTAGTGTACATTCTATAGGTACTTAACCAGATGGAGGCCAAGACAGGCATGAACTGAAGGATTTACCCAAGGCCAAAACAGAGAGAAAGTGCTTATCCGATCATAAAAAGTTGCTATTCTGAACTGCTGCAAAGGCTAACTGAGGAAATCATAGAACTAATGTGAGGAACCCTTTGCCCTCTGAACCACAATTCCCATCAGTTCAACACACACACACACACACACACACACAGTGTGTGTTGTGTGTGTATAGTGCAGAGAGAGAGAGAGTGCGCGCATATGGAAAAGCATATGAAAACCCTTGGCATGGATTATTTGGGGGATGGAGGGGGAAATGATCTGAGGATCACTTATGCTGTCCCCATGTTGGCTGAGGTTAACAGAACTACATTTATGCACATCAGCACTTTCTGTTTCATATTACTGCTGCCACTTTTGAAGACTGCTAAGTCTTTTATTTACTGTTTACATCTATCAGTACACTCATTCTGCAGGTGCTTTGATCTTCTGACAATTGCTTAATATTTGGCATGTTACTGAAATTAAATATTCTTTAAATAGTTATTGAATTTAATTAATTGTTTCATATGCCAGGATAGTTAAACATATTCAGAGGCCTCGATTTTGAGGCAGCATAGCTTTGAGTTCAAGAAGCTAAGGACTAAGAATAGAGGAAGCCTAATACCTTCATGCTTGAGGGCCCCTTTGGGAGCATTGGGGGGGGCACTATTGGAAGCAGTTGCATCCTTGGTTTGATCCAGCAGGGCTCTTTATATTCTTAATACTTTTTTTAATATAAACAAGCTTAGGTTTTACAGTTAATATTCTGATCTAATTATAATTCCAGTACACTATTTGTTTTGACATGCTACAAAATTATAATTTGAGAGCCTATGTAGATGAGACATTGAAAGATGGGAGATGTAATCAATCTCTAATTTATTTAGAAATGATATGGGGGTGGAGGTGGGGGGACAACTGCAATATGATCCTGAGGTTGGAGGAAGGGGGAGGTTCAACCCTTTCCTTGCACCGTTTCCCCAATTTAAATATGCCCTCTCAGCTATTAGCCCGATTTTACAGGTCATTTATTTTGGTCTTTAAAATGATGTTATCAATAGGTCCTAATATCAGGTAACAAAAGTCAGTTTGATCCAATGAGCTAAGCTGTTACAGAGGGGTTCTGAAAATTAAAACTCTGATGACACAGATGCTTTTATTTTTTTTAATGCATGAACTACAAAAGGTCACAGCGCTCACAAAAATACTGCCAGAAGTTTAATCATATTTCATTATTTTAATAACAAAAAGCAGGTGTGTGCCACCTGCTGGTGAAGCAGTTCAGTTAACAGATTTTGTTTTTAAGATTCAAAATGTTTCTTCAATCAAAAAGTAGAACATATTCTAGAAAGGGCTCTAACTGGCCATCAATTTACTGCCTCACAAATGTTACAATTTCTACAGTGCAATGCTACAAATATTGATCTCTTGTGGAACTCAGAAGGCAGAATTGCCATTAGTACTATGCAATGAAAACATGGCTGTCCTGAAGGTGGCTTCTCTTGTTGGGATCACACCATCTCCCTTTTAGTGTTAGAGCTACAAGATCCCAAAGCTAGCAGGTGCTGGTGGGGATGGGTGATGAAGGAAATCCCTGTGTACTGCGTGTCTCTGTTTTCCTTTGTCCTTAAAAAGCAAGGAAACCTCATGATTCTGTGGGAACCAGAATAAAGCACTGGCCTCATAATTCATCCTCCAAAGAGTCTCACATCTAGTTTATCCATTTGTATACAATCCTCAGTTTTTTGGTGGCCACTCCTAGGATTATCCCATGCACTATCCTCTCTCATCTTATCCTGATTTGTGGTCTCCCCTTTTCTTGCTCCAGCACTCAAAAAGCAATCACCCTCAACAATCTTTTCCTCCTTCAAACCCTTCACCTACTCACCACCACATAAATCTTGCTTCCTAGGGCTGGCATTGCCAGTTTTGTAGCTCTCACCTTCTGCCACACTTTGCTTTGCAAGCTGCAGTAGTGATGTTGGTCTTTCCCTTTTCCAATACTTCATCCCTTACTGAATCCCAGCCTAAGCCCCTGTAACTGAACTTAACTCATATTCCTCTTCTGTCAATTCTCACCACCAGCTTCCTCTCCTCTGTTGCCTTCCTGCACAGAGCCCTCACACACACCCCTTTACCAATGTACAATGGTAAAATTGCAAAATAAATTACATAAAGGAAAATTCAAATTTTCCTCCTCAATATGCACAATACATACAAAGCTGCTGAATTTATAGCAAATGGGCAAATAACTTTTTAGACCCGAGTACAGGTCTCTGTCCTTAATATAAAAGAGAACGAAAGAGTTATATATGCAGCTTGTCGTAATAATGCCCAGCACAGCTCTCTCTCTGCTGCTGCTTCCCTTAGGGAGCAAGTGGCAGGAGGGAAATCAGTCGTGTCTAATTACTAGAGAACAAATGGGAAAGAAGAAAAAACAATGATCCAAAACTATAAACAGAGCAGGGCGGAAGAGGAATAGCTGAAATTGCATACACAAAGCAAAGAACCAACACAAAATCAGTTCAATTCCATTCACATATGTATTTAAAGTCAGTAAACTGAATACAAAATTAAATGCTGATAAAATGAAAAATAAAGGTAAAGTCAGTTCATATACTTTCATAACTCTGTCTACACTGAAATCTGAATCAATGTCAGTTTATAAATACAAAAGTATTCAATGATTTTAACAAATGCTGGGTAATTACCCAGGAACAATATAAAATTTATTGAATTGTTGTTCTATCTGATTTGTTAAAGAATTTAAGTTGTGTTCCAATTGCAGGCCCGCAAAAGAATGATGAAATTATTTAAATGGGCATCCAATTTTTGATGGTACTTTCTGTGCTTGTTGAAAGAGCCCAAAGAGATCTACAATTCCCTAGAGGAAACCTGAGAAATGGCTACTACATCCAAGAAAAACAGCAGGGACACAAAATGACTCACTCCCAAACTGGGGAATTAATGATGAATATATTATTCTTCTAAGTGCCTGTAATTGGAATAAAGAGGATTTAGACAGAGGAAGGATTTATTTACAGAATGTACCCATTTCCCAAGGAGACTTTATTGCAGGCAGAGCAAGGTGCAAAGACACCAAGGATTAATCCCTTGCCTCAGGAAGTGGTAGTGGAGTCCTGACTGGAAGTTTGGACATATTTTTTCCTACAGAAGTGTGTGACTTTTGAATCAAATACTGTGTTATATTTGGGGTTGCCTTTGAAAAGTGATTAGAAACTTCAGCTGGTTTGGAAGACAGCAGTAATGCTGCTGACAGGAGCTTGGCACTGTGAGAATATTGCACTGCTTCTTAACTCCAGTGATTCCTAGTTTGTTTCTAGATGCAGCTCAATGTGTTGGTTTTTACCTTCAAAGCCCCAAACTAAAAGCAGGGGACCTACAGCCACCTACTTAATTTCATCAGCCTCCCAACTTTTCTAAGGACTCTTTACCACCGAAGTAATGGGTAGCACAGCTGCTCTGTGCTGAGAATAGCATAAAAGGTAAGACACTCCCACCCGCTAGCAATATTTGGGAGGAGTTACTTCTGCTGAAAAACCTCCAAGGAAGGAGAGTCCACAACCTCCCGAGGAAGTTCGTTCCAGTGTCAAACAGCTTTTACCTGCTTCTTTCTGCAAGGATGGTTATATTGCTCCTGTTAAGCAATGGATCCCAACCTGAGTAGCCAGAGCTTAAGAGGGTAATATCCCAGAACCATCTTCCTAGGCAGTACTATCTATCTATCTATCTATCTATCTATCTATCTATCTATCTATCTATCATCTATCTATCTATCAGAATATAATTAAGAACCTGTAAAACAACCCACTTAACAATACAAGAATTCACTCTGGTATGTGCTCCACTATAGACTTTTTTCTGTAGGTCAACAGCCCTTAACAGAAAAATAGTTCCCCCCTCCTGTCCTAATACTCTGGTTATTGGAAAGACTGCTTGCTGCCCTCTGAATATAGCCAAAAACTATAACCTTAACTGGAAGCCATTCTCTTGGCACCTCTGCCTGCACAAGGTGATCCCAGGAAGATGATGTTTTCTCTGGTTGTACTCCAATTTTGGAACACATTTCCCAAGAAGACCCACCTGCAACCTTTATTGCATATTTCAGGAATCCAACAAAGACTGTACTATTTTTCTGGGCTTTCAGTAGTTGACCTATTTAAGATTCAGCGGCTTTTTGGGTAGCAGAGTTAGTTTTCTGGTGGAAAAAATACTAATTTATTTACTGGCTGCTCTCTTTATTTGAGTTCACATGTTGCTGTTTTATCTTGCTGCTGCTTTGTATTTTACAGTGCTGAATACTTTACTGGTTTTCTTTAATTGTTAAACTGCTTTGGCTGCTAGCTTGCAAAAAGATAACCCATTATTCTAAAATAATTTAAAAATAATTAAATAAAAAGCAGTATTTTATTCAGAAGGGCGTTTCAGTCAAAAACCTTGTTACAATAACTGAAATTAGTGTTCAGATCAAGCCAGCAGTTAGCTTCTTACCCCTGTTGCCTGTAGATGTTGCCTAAATTCATCCATTGTTGTGTTTGAGATGCTCATATCCCTGAACATTCCTTCCAGTTTTGATGTGAATTGACATCCACATTCAGTCTATAAAAAAGAAGAGAACAATTCTTTTAAAATTATATATGCCATTTTATATATATATATATATATATATATATATATATATATTTAGGCCACATACTTGGAACCAGAACATTACAAAATATAGAGAATATGTTTGAACTTGTTAAAGATATGAAAAAGCGAAACACATTCTGCTTGATTCCAAACATCAGTTTCAACAGTAGAAAACATCCCAAAACGTTTACCACAAAAGGTTGAGCTATTAATGCAAAAGTATGCCATGATTTTAATGGTTGATGGGCAGGGTATAAATATATTACTACTACTACTACTACTACTACTACTACTACTACTACACCAGGTTGTGGGGGGACGGGACAAAAGTTGTTCTGTAAATGAACAGAAGAATCTGCTGTCCAAATCTTTTTAAAAATATAACAAAATATGTCTTCCTTATTCTTTATGTTTAGGAGGAAAGTTACAACTTTTGAATCAGGCTTTAAAGCCTTCCAAGGTATTCTGAATGACGTGCTATCTCCTATTGTTTTATATTGTTGGGTTTATGTTTTTATTAAATACCACTCTGTCTTAAGAGGAAACACAAAAATAAAGAACCCACAAATATAAACAAACACACACAAATAGAAAAAACAGGGGCTCAGGTCAGCATACAAAGTCACATGTCTTTGTATCCTGGCTTGAACCCCTGTTTTTTTCTATTTATGTATGTCTTAAGAGGAAAAGCAGGATGTAAATGATTTCGAATTTTAAAATTAGAAATTCCTTCCCAGGTGCATTCTTAAAATCCCAGTTTAGTTCCAGCTGTACTATCCAAAGAAGCACTTTATATGAAGTGCTTTTTTTAGCAGGGTAAAGAAGAGGAAAAGATGGATTGGAAGGTTAGGGTGGGGTGTTTTTCAATCCTTCTCCAAGAAGGACTAGCAGGTAAGTATTCACTTTGTTGTGAAAATAAGGAAGAGGACTATAGCTTAGATGGAGGATGAGGAGGAACCTTTTGCCATGCACCAGGGGTTCCAGAAAATCTGTGAACAGGGAAAATTGACATTACCTGCTTTATTCTATCCTCTTCAACTCCACCCTGCTTTTCAAGCTTTCTGGCAGGAAATCGACTGCAGTTCCAAATACTGCAGTTTTAAGTTTTAAAAACAGTATGAATAAACTTTTGCTGGCAATGAATTTTTTTTATTGCTGCACCTTTAGTATTTAGAAATATAGCATACTGCAATGATCCCACATTAGCTAAAATTATGACAACTGAATGTTGGACTGAAACCAGAAACAAAAGGGAAACAGTCACTAAGTAAAAGATTGCAGGGACTAACTTTACCTTTAGCTTAGATATCATGTTTTTCTCAGAGTCATCTGAAACACTTTTGTTTGTTAGAAGCCTCCTTGCCAAGTGCTGTTTATAGTATCGTTCAAAAACATCCTTCTCTTGCATAAACCTAAACAAAACCATTGCCTTGTCCAATATAGTCTCTACTTCTTGCTCAGTTAGCTGTAAAGACAAAAACATTATTTTTCAACCAAATGCTACCAATCTCCATCGCTAGAGATTGTGCCCACAAAATACTATGATTAAGAAACACTGATAGCACAATCAATGCATCTTTACTGAGAAATAAATCCTGCTCTGCTCAGGTAGTGTGTAGCATGGCAGTCACAGCCTTCTCAGGGCAGCTTCACACTTCACGAAATAACACTGTCTGTGATTCACTGTGATAAAACACTAAGTGGGAATGGGAGACATATCTTCAAATGTACGAAGGCATGGACTTCAAGTTTTTGGTGCAACAGTAACTTGTTAGGGGACAAAAGTTCAAGTACTAAATGGGAACATATTTTGCTGGGGTGGGGGAGCAGCAATCTGATTACATGGTCAGCATGCTAAACTACAAGGAACTTGAAGGCATCATACTGTAAGCTGAAGATGTATTGCTGTGCAAGACTCACCAGAACACATACGTTAGTACTTCTGACACTGCCACCAGTAACACTTTCCTTTAACATAGGTCATTTTTAAATGTCACTAATTATCAGCATTATCATTCTAAAAACAACTACAACTAACAATGGTTAAGTCAATCAAGAATTATTCAGATCTCTATTTACACACATATATAGTTCATGCAGTTGCAAAAGATTGTGACAAGCACATATAATTTGTTCACTCAACTGCACTGCTTATTGCATTTTGAAAGTTAAAACAGTATACTTTCAGGAACGTAATAGAACAGAAGTTTGCATAAATATATGTTGTTGTTTTGTCACAAATTTGGATAGTTGTAACTGAAAATATACTTACTCCCTTGACTCCTTTTTTTAACTTGTCATCAATAAATAATGAGAGGTACTCTGGAGACCTAGAGTTAAGGTTGAGGAAATACTCAAAGTCACCCGCAATGGTTTGTTTGAAGAGCCTGTCGTTATTGAAAGATTCTTGAAGGAAGCGATCAAACCTACTCTTCAAATCCAGTAAACCCTTAGAAAAATAAAGAATATTTTTTATTTTCAGTAGGTAGCTGTGTTGGTCTGACACAGTCGAAATGAATTAAAAAATTGTCCAGTTGTACCTTAGAGACCAACTAAGTTTGTTCTGGGTATAAGCTTTCAGATTTCTGAAGAAGTGTGCATGCACATGAAAGCTTATACCCGGAACAAACTTAGTTGGTCTCTATGGTGCTACTGGACAATTTTTTAATTTATTTCAAATAATGTTCAAATATGTTACAGATTTCTACTATATGTTGTATGGAAATCACATCCATTGTGAGGTTATTTGACTGAAAACTATTTGCTCATTGCTTCAAAGTGTCTAGAACACTTTACTTGACATTAGGTTAAGCTTAGAAAAACCTGGTATTTTAAATGGGAAAGAAAATCCATTGTTAAGTATAGATTTCTTTCTCAAGTGCAGAGGACAGCTAGCAAGAGGATGTTACCAGGGTTCACATGCATCCTGTATAACCTCAAGCACCATCTTGCAACTACCACCACCAACTCTTTTTCATTCTGGTTGTATTTGCTCCTGGAGGTCCAAGTCACAGGCAACAGCCTCACATACTGGACTGTGAAGTGAATGACAGCTGCATGTTCTGGCTCTTCCTAGAATTCAAACATTCAACAGTTTGGGTCTTGGTGCCATGGTTTCTAGCGTATAGCAAAGTGCTCTTCACTGCTCTGTATTTTGGTTCTACACTTGGGGAAGCATGATTTGGGGAAGGTTCTGGGGGTGCAGTCCATTTCAATGACCACTGGGCGATTTCAATGAAATCCTGAATATCTTCCCTTAGACCAAGGTGACTTGGGTGAGGATGCTGCCTAGGAGTGTGTAGGCAGGGCCCCAGGATTCCAAGGTGCTTCAGATGGCTTAAAGAAGATCAGTGCTGAAATTGCCGAGGTGGCGTTTTAGTGGGCTGGTGTAGCCATTTGTCAACAAGTGATCTCTTGGGACTTGCCCCACTTGCTTTAGAAGGATGATGTCCACCTGTCTGCTAAGAGGTGTGATCTTTACAAAGGGACTCTCCTGTGTGGGGTTTCCTTTGCTTCTATTCTAGCTGCTTTAGCTGCTGCAGGTGATTTTTTTTTGGTCTGTCCTGAGAAATGTTGAAGGTTTGAGTCTTGTCAGTTCTACAGGGATGAGAAAGGAGTCAAGCAAAGTTTGCCCTTTCTTGTGGCAAGTCCACCAGTGGCAGAAGAGCAGCCAGATCTGAAGTTCAGTTAAGATGGGCAAATGAGAAATGTAAGGTTCAACTACCTGAATATAGTCAACTGGGTTCTTTCCTTCTCCTTCTTCAGATACAAGAGCTTTACCTTGCTCTCGGAGGTAGGAGCTCATACACTCACACATTGTCTTAAGACCATTCGGCACACGGCTGAACAGCTTGTACATACAAGCAAGATCTGCAATGGGGGGAAAGTATATTAACTACCACCAACATGGTATTTCTATCACAAGACAGCAGATGGACAGAATAAGTGTTCTCAAATTTTTGTCAACTCATATTTTAACATGAAGTCTCATTGTGAGGCTCTTCCTTCTGTCCTGGAATAGCAGACACAACAGACCTGTCCTAAATGTTGCATTAATTTTTGTTCTTCACCTTTTGGATGCTATATTATTTTAAATAATAAAATCATTATGGTGATTTGTTGCAGCAGTATGGCACATTGAGTGTCTTTGAATATAAGAGCTATAAATGTTTAGAATTTAAATTTTAAAAAATTATCAGCACAGAGTGTCCAATTCAACAACAAAATATAATAAAACTAATGCCAGATTACAAATTAAAAACCCTAATGAATCCTAATGCTATGTTATGCTAAGTGACCATTGGGTTTTAAACTAGGATTGGTAAATATAATTATATTTAACTAGAATTTGGTTGATCACAATAAGCAAGCATGAATACCACATAAACTATTAAAAAGTTTCTTGGAGGTACATAACATTTTATTGCTGCTGCAAGGAATGAACTGAGCTGAAACTCATTTCAGGTGAGCTACCATCTCACTCATTAGTTACAATCACAAGCATACCCAGCACACACTAATACAAATCTGCTAATGGAACTATGCAAAGCAAAAAGTTTACATTAGTAAACATTGATGAGGGGCAGACATTATAGTTTTCTAAAATAAAATGGCATTTCTTACAAAATCTTTGGACATGTAGGAAGTATGTATAGCTTAGTCACAATAATTATTCTTTAGGCAGCTTTAGATAGAATAACGCTACTGAGGGAATGGAAAACACAGTTGTTTTTTCAGTATATATGTCACTTCATATTTCAACAGAAATCTCTAAGGAATATAGATATTCTAACAAAAAGGAATAAATATTAAGAAATATTTAGTACACTTCATGCATATAAACTACTTCAGTGCCTGTAAGCAACATAATCTGGATTTACCTTCTGTTTTTCCATTTTTTAGCATGTGAACTAGACCAGAATTCTCCATTTCCACTATAGTCTTCATATGCTTGGAAATAAGCTCTCTCTCAACAACTTTTACAATTGGCTCTTCAGTTGATTTATCAAGGCAGTGCATCACACGTTCTATTTCTTCATTAATTCTAGCTTCTACTTTCTTGATATAAACTGAAGCACTATTTTCTGCTAAAAACTTCTGGCTCTCCATCTGTATTGGAACAAAGCAGAGCATGCCACGTGATACTATAATATTCTGAAAGAATTGCTAGAGATGCACTCCCCCACTATAAACATTTTTAATTGAAATAAGGCTTCATACCTATTACCTTGATGTAATCCATACATCAACCCTGTATTATTATCCATATATTATAGTATGCACAATGAGGATTAAAGGATGGGGCTTGGCCTCATGTCCACGACACAGGCAGGATTTGAAGTAGGAATTTCCCAATTTATAACTCTGCTATGCTACATCAGCTCTGAACATGCCCCCTAATTAGTGATACTTGCTAATTTAGAACCCAGTAATACAGCCTTGTGGATATTGGTTAGGATTCACTCCCACCACCATCTGCGTACCAGTGTCTATGTGGACTGTGGATGAAGCAATATTTATCTTTCTTTGGAATTGGAGCATCCTGCACTTTATGGGATTCCACTCCAAAGGACCCCTCCCCCTTGAATCTGAGTGCATGCATGGAAGGGGGCTCCCACTGAAAAGCAGCGGAGATGAAAAGATGCCATGCGCGAGAAGAATACCATCCGTATGATATATAGAGAGTGTGAGACATCGCCTTCTTCTTTCCCACTGCAGCCCAAATTATGCTCTGGAGGGCCACCACCCTACCTGCCGGAGCAGATTTTGAGGGCAGAAAAAGCGTTTCAGGGAGGAGGAGAGGAAGACAAAGTTGCACTGCCTAAGTGGAAGTCCATTCTGCTTATGCATAACCAGCATTGCATACAAACAAGAGTTTTCCTAGTTTCCAAATAACATTTTATTTTTGCTGGATGTTTGGGACAGTGAATCTTTAAGCAGCATAGCAGTCAATATCTACAATTAAAAACCTTATGTGTGTGTGTGTGTGGGGGGGTGATTAGAAAGATTACTTGCAAATAATTCCAAACAAATTCATTAAACGGATTAACACCAATAAACAGTTAACATCACATACACTTGAAACATATTTTGTACCTGAAAGAATTCTGCTGACATCTCTAAAAATGGGGCTTCAAAATCTTCTTCATAGACAGATCTTCCTTCAAGGCCTAGAATCATTAACATCTGACAAGCATTTCTGATTGCTCCTCTGTCAAAATATTAAATCAGATGTAGAGATTAGATATATTTTAGCAGAAGTAGAATTTTCAAAGTCATTCAACAAAACATCCTCATATAATTTCCACCCTCAGCGATCAATGGAAGTCCCTCTCATCAAGGATGTAAGAATTAGAAGAGAACAAAGAAGAGACTTCTCCACTCTTGCCCTGAGATTATAGTAGTTAACCCCATGCAGAGATAACAAAAATGTGTATTGCTGCTGAACTTCAAGAGGCAGTTTAAGGAATCCTTTGGTGGGCTCTTTGGAGACTATAGTGACACCAGGTTTACTCAGAACTGATAGGCTGCTCAACTTGATTTCCTAGCTATAATGATTTCTGGTTGTCTCCATTTAGCTCTGGTATAATTACTTATTGAAGAGACTGAACTGTGAACCATGAAGTCATAAATTCTATCATTCCAGCTGCCATGAACTCACTAGGTGGAATTAGATACCTTCCCTTATCCTCACCTCCATCTGCAATATGCAGGCAATGGCCTGTTTTACAGACTTTAAGAGGATCACTGAGAGTGTATGCAAATGTTATGTATTATTCTGAGTAAGGAGATTGTTTAGAACCAATTATTTTAGACAAGATTATAAAAGTTCCTTTACTGGCTCTTCTGAAAATTTTTAGGTACTTCATCTTTAAGTCACTGATCTTATTCAGGGTTCTCAAGTGCACAAAAACACATACACCAATCCCCTAATTTCAGAACTTTCTCCATCTCTAGAAACTCCTCAGCTGAAAATAATAATAATTTAATAGTCACAGCAACCAGTCCATATGCAATTTTGTACAGGAAAATAGCTAAATTATGAAATCGGAATAGGAACTTCACACTAGCTTATTTGTGTAAATTTGTAGATATCAATATCTTGATAAGCATTAAGGGCAATATCCAATGAACTCATTCCACTAGCACAAGGATTTATGCCTGCACAACAAAACTCTTCCCCCATCTCCAGTATATGCCAATCCCATATCTACTCCAGAGTGTTGAAGAAACCTCTGGAATAGATTTGGGAGTACACAGAAGGGAAGTTCCACTGTGCAAGCAGATATCCTTGTGCCAACAGAATGGGTCACACAGCACTACTTTGAATACAGCCTTTAGGGTTGTGTAGTAATGTGGAGTTGGCCAAGTTGACATACTGTGTACACATTTTAAATTACTAACAAAGTGTTAATAGCTACTAGAGCTCCAACATTGTAACACTCTGTAACTGTGTCAGAAGAACAATTTGTTTACAAGCGAAGATGTGTTGAGAATGAAGCTCCCTAAACACTCCAAAGGAGGAGAATGTTGCACAACTGGTATATACAGCCATATATTCATAAAATTCCAATGAGCAACCTGCAGCCAAAATAGAATCAAGTTTCAAATTGTTTTTAAAATGGTAAGGAATTTGGGGGAGGGGGGAGGCAAATAGCTACTGCAGTGGCAGAGAAGGTAAGAAATGGATACTGAATATATTGATGGCATGTATTTTTTTAAAAAAATGTTTCAGTTATCATCTTGATTCTGATAATATAGTGTACTGCAGTATTAGCCACCCAGGGAATTTTTATTGATGGCCTCGTAAAATATATCCCACTATTAATAATTAAAAATGAAATTAAAAAAATGCAAAGAAAAGTGCAATAGCAGCAAGATTAACTCATGCACACAAAACAAAGATCTTGCAAGAATGATAACAAAGCTATTTTTTTGCAGTTGTACCTGTCCACAACTTCTCCTTTCCGTTCCCTTGCAATCATGTCCAACAATGTCTGTCGTAGATGATCCCTAATACACCCGTAACGTACAACTTGATCTCGAAAGATAATTAATCCCAAGTTGTAGACATTTTCCACATTATTTTGTTGTACATATACACGGTCCTAAAATTGAAATATAAATAATAAGGCTTGTATACAATACCACTCGTATGCAGTTTATCCAGAGACTGCTTACAGCTACATGAGCATACCTCAGTCACCCCTCCCCAAAACAACCTCCAATGCACTTTGTCTTGAAAACTGATACCAAACTAACTATAAATGGTTATTGTTTATATTGCAGAAAACAACTGTCTTACAATTATCAGGGCAAAATATATAAATTGGAACACACTATCATTTAAGTTCTCTCAAATCATGTGTGTGTTTATCACCATGTAACACACACATACCCTTAATCGATGCAATCAAAACTTTGCCATTTGAAAGATGATAAAGCTGACCAATACAGTAGAGCTCAGACTACATACAAAGAAAAAGAAATCTATCCCGTGAGTTATGAAAGATGTACACATGCATAATAGAGAACACTGACTGCAAGGAAGAGGAGAGCATCATAAAATGGTCTTAGGGTACCTAATCCTAAACAGGAATGGTCCTAGTCAAAACTTGGAAGAGAGACTATTTGGGAACCCTCAGAGCTCTTCAGATGAAAGCAGACATAAAAATGTAATACAATGTAATACAAACACTCTCAGTAGAAGAGTGTTTTCATATGGCACTGGAAATATCAGATCTAAGAACCCAATCCTAAATTGTGCTTTGCAAGATTCCTTGTAAAGGTAAAGAGTAGCTGCTCTTTCCATTTAAAAATTAGAATTTCCAGTGACAATATGGTCCACATACAGAGTAAGACATGATATGTAAAGGGTAAAACATCTAAAACTGTGTTCAGTTCAAAACAGTATTTGAATAAAGTGGAAATCTGAAAGAGCGCACTAGATAAATGACAACAACAACAACAAAAATCGATCCTGATCTTTTGACATTTCATTAGCAGTCTTTAGCCTAGTTCAGGAGAGATGATAGCAACAGATTTCACATGGAGGCATGGGTGTAGCTACTCCACCGCATATCTAGAACAATGCATTATGCAGGTGCCCCACATGGAGGCCGATATATGAGCCTTTCTCTTTCATTATGTAAGCACATCTTGTTAACCTCTATTCCAATCTCAGCTTCCCAAAAGAACCTTTCACAATGAAACTACTGAAGAGGAAAAGTGGACTCCAGTGTGTGTATGCCCCACATTCATATCAGTTAAATATTTCAACTTATCATGTCTAGTTCTTCCATGAGTATGAAGATCTACAAGTTTGTTCTTACGACTAAATACTTCTAGCTCCAGAGAGAGAGAAAAATAAGACATTACCTACCATATACATTAGAATGTCTCTAATCATCACCATTGCTGTTTGATGATCATTCCATGCTTGGTTTAATGTTTGGAGGAAGTTGTTATTTAATGAATTTAGCACATCTTCTCGCACCTGCAACCAAACAGAATGTTTCAAAATAACCAAGGCAACTTATTTAATACAAGTTATTGAAAGCTACTATGCTATGCTACTGCTATGCTACTGTCACAAGAAAGAGCAAAAAGACGTGCCAAATAACCACACTACCAGTTCAAATCGCACCACTATTAGGAAGCTCTTTGCATTTAAAAAACAGGCAAGTATTGTCTGCAGATAGTCTGACTCATGAGTATATAAATGAAATATATAGATGAAACTTTTTAATTTATCATGTTTTGTTAGCAGTGTAGACAGCTTTACCATATAGGATAAATGATACATTTAGCCCTGAAGCTCCTAGAAGCATAACCAAATTAATTTTGTGATCCTCACAGCAAGTCATATTACTCACAAACATTTACACTTCTTTCTTACTGGAAGGACAGGAAACAGCTCTAGTCAGTCATGTGCATTGCTGTGCTACTGGGACTTGTCTTGTAATGTGTGCAAAATGCAAAAGGAAGAGTAATCATGCTTACTTATCAAGAGCTGACTGATCATGCCATCGGCTCTTTGCTACAATGGCATATGGAAAATGGATTTGAGTAGCAACCTTCTTGGTTGGTTCTTGGAGCCTGCTTGTTTATTTTTTGATGTCTGCCTCTTCTGGATTTCTCCCTCCTCTTTCTGTGGCAATTGCTGACCTTGAGTTCTGGATGCATTTGACGAAGCCTGCCTCTGTTCATTTTTAACTCAGCAGGTGAGTAGTAGAGCAAATGCTTTGCAAGCAAAGGATCCCAGGTTCAATCACTGCCATTTCCAGGTAGGGCTGGGAAAGATGCAGGTCTGGAATACTAGAGAACTATGGCCAGTCACAGTAAACAATACTGAGCTAGATGGTCTGAGAAGGTATGAGGCAGCTTTCTACATTCCCACGTACTGGCACCCAACCTCTGTCTGGAATTGTAAGTATTCAATGTTGTTTAAAATATAACTCTTAATTTTACCATAAAACTGTAATGGGAGGAAATAATGTAGTGTCTTCCTCTGTAATGCCTCACAATTTCTGATGGCTCTGATCTACCACTACCACTCTTTTTCCTAATCACTAAAATACAGTTGTTGTTTTTGGGCCATATTTCTATGACTAAGCATTCACTGAGCCCTAACTCAAATTAAACACTTTCCGTGAACCAATTAAAATGTTTGGGGGTTTTATTGGAGGGGGGATTTCTTTGAATGAGTAAGAGGATGGGGTGTCCTTATAAAAGCATTATAGCTAGGGGTGAAGGAGAGACAGCAAGGCAATATACTATTAAAGACACTTTCATTCATCTTAATGTTGCACAATGTCCCAGAAATGAAAGACAAGTATGGAAGCCTTACAAATAAAATGATAACAATAATAGAAATGTAGTAGGCTGCTGGAGGTGGGACCAAGCTCTCTATCCCTCCTCAGCCAGCCACCCACACACTAGCAAAAACACTTTGCAGGCTAGTAACTTTTGTGCCTTGATTTACAAGGTTAAAGAATGGTCCTTTTTGGATAGAAAGATCCCATCTGAGGCTAACAGGTATTCATCTCAAAATATTTGAAAGTTGTTTGCTGTTCTTTAAATCCCCTTTGCAGCTTACTTTTTGTGATACAAGCATGTAACTGTTTTGATTCCTACAGTAGTCCATGGAAAGTCCTGCAGTTTCAAGGATAAATTTGGGAAGGAGACTGTCATTTAGCAGCAGCTGCAAGTAACAGTCAGAGGCTGTATATTCTTATCCTTAAAAAAGTAGAATTTGCTAGTTCACAACTAAAATTCTTAGTCTCTACATTTCAACCAGCTGTTGAGTTCAATGTTTATACAATATAGAGGCATATTGGGAATGGGGGATAAAATTGGCTCCTGTAGCCTTTTAACTTCAAAATTCTCAGGTGGTAGCAGGCACACCAAAATAAACATCTAGATTTCAGGACTATTTACATGTGTTTTAAGAATAGCAGCATTTGACATTGCTTTTCCATAAAAAGGTTTATTATTTAGTGAAGTCACATAGCAATATCCCAGAGGAAGTCTTGGCTCTGTTTCCTGCTATAGAAACAGCCATAGTCTCTGTGATGAACACCGGGTCCTTGAGAAGGAGGTGTTAAAGTTTTTCTTGTAACATTCACTTGAACAAACAGTTCTGGATATCTTGTAGTACTACTCAGAAGGACCAGCTAAGAGGTCTTTCTGCTCCCAAGTCACAAAAGCACTCTTTGGGAGAAAGAAGATGAAGTCTGTCAGCCAGTCATAGGGAAGATGCCTTATGTTTCATTCACTTTTCATCTGTAAAGTCTAGGTTCTCCTGCATAGCACATAGAGACTTGATGTAGCTGTTACTGACAGTGCATTTGATCTGTATCACTCCCTGTACATCTATTTCAACCAGTGTTTGAAATTAACCTGTTACCTGGCACATTTTGCACCTGATTGTCGGCCACTTGTCGGCAACCAAGTGAAGATCCCTGGGTGCCAGGATGGCACCTGACATCACTATCTTGAGGTGCATGTCTGGGGATCATTGGATCTTGATTGTTTTCACACACTAATACCACATCCTGTAGTATTCTATCAGTTATATTTTATCTGCACAATCACAATGGATTTCAGGAACCAAAATGCTTTTTCTGTGAAGCCTAAGCAGGAGCAGTGAGCAATGTTATAGCTAGCTGTTGTAGCTTGTCTTCACTTACCCCACCCTACTGCCCTGCTCACAGTTGTGAAGAATATTTTTATATTATGCATGGTCTGTGTCACCATTAAGATAAAGCAGTAGGAATAGGCCAATATATATGTGGATGATCCCTGGATAAAGTGGCTTTTCTTCCTTAAATTCTCAAAGTTTTTAACCTAGCTCAAGATTATCATCTGAACTACCCAGATGTTTAACTGATAATCAATCACAGTCAGTAAATCATTTGGAAAAAAAGACTTTAGAGCTGTCTTGCCCAAAAATGGCAACTCAACATTTTGTTTTGCCAACTGTAACCTTTGGCCTCTAGCTTATATAGCTGAGTTTCTAGCACTGATTGCAACCTGTTTCTTTGAGGAAGAATAGGTATGGAGTATGTAGTGGTTATCTGCTCACTAAAGTTACTTCACATTTATCACCTGTGCAACTCCTCTTTCCAAGGCAAAGAAGCTTCATGAAAGTCAAGTGCTTAAGACTACTATAGATTATACAGCAAATTATACAAAATAGAAAAATGACTCCTATTTTTAGCATATACTAGTTGCTAGTCATGTTAGAAGATCTTCTATCTACATATAATTGGGCTGCTGAAGAATCACAATATGTGTTTTAGTATTTCATACTTCATGCAAAAATTGCATGCTTTCATTTGCTCATTTAAGTTTTACGTTCACTGCTTGCAGATAATGACAACCAACAAGTACAATCATGAATAGATTTTTAACAATAATTGCTCACTGTCTTACTAGGTTATATAATTTTTGTTTAAAGTACCAGTGTCTGAGTGAAGATTCAGCAAACAAATTAGAACAAATTGAAAGGAATACTTCCTATATGCGCCACAGTAAAAAATAAAAAGAAATCCCACTCCAAACAGTAACAACTTTGTATTCCAAAATGAATGCATGCATTTAAAATTGTATATAGTGATTAGCAAGTAGCAGTTTACTAATCTTCCCAGACTATTATCCTGAACTGACCCTTAACTGAACTCTTGCTTTACGGGATATTGTTAGCACATTTGGAACATTTTAAAAGTATTGTTCCTAAAGGTTTTATACCAATGTAGTTATGATTTTCCATGGGTGATGTGTATATCAATTACTTACAAGTATACATGAGTGGAGCTAAAGGGATATGCTGTGCTCAGCACACCTGTCCCACTATAAGCAGCAAATATTAAATGCATAAGGCTTCATCAAGGTGGTTTGTGTTGTAGTGCCCAAGACAGCATTACGAAAACACACAAGGCCTCCCCAAATCCCAAAGCTGCAGCAGTGTTTTTTTCTAATAGAGGACCCTGAAGTTTATTTTTTTCCAACAACCTTCCCCCTCCTAAATTAATGAAACAATACAAAAAATAAGAACTAGAAAACACTATATTTAAAAAAAACCTCTTCAATCCTCTGTCAGTTTAGCCCTGATCTCTGAAACTAGGCCTAAACAATAAAGGTTTTGAAATGCTTCTAAAAGATGGCCAAGTGTGCTTCTGAATTGTCTGGTGTTCCTGCTTCTATCTTTTTTTCTGACAATGGCAGCAACCTAAACACATATAAAACATTCATATCTGAGGTTGAGTGCATTTTATATACAGGTGCATTATCAAATATATTTTGTCATTTTCGGGAAAGACTAAATCATGGGTAGGCAAACTAAGGCCCGGGGGCTGGATCCGGCCCAATCGCCTTCTAAATACGCCCCGTGGATCATCCAGGAATCAGTGTGTTTTTACATGAGTAGAATGTGTGCTTTTATTTAAAATGCATCTCTGGGGCACAGGAATTTATTCATTATTTTTTCCAAAATATAGTCCGGCCTCGCATAAGGTCTGAGGGACAGTGGAACGGCCCCCTGCTGAAAAAGTTTGCTGACCCCTGAACTAAATGAAACAGATTCAAACAAGACGAGACTGATGACAAAAGACTATCACAAGTGTGCCTGTCACTTCCAAATGGCTGCAATGATAACATAGGAAGTAGCTGTATCAGCAATCCATTCCTTGTGATTGCTTCCTATCGCTACTGTCACAGTAGAATGCGATCCAGACATGGAGCTGAGCCAACCATACCTCTGCAGCAATAGGCCTTGAAACTCCCATTACCCAAAATGATACATTCACACTAGTTGCAGCAGTCCCAAAGCTAGGTCAATATCAATAGGTGGCACAGTCACCACCACAGGCAAAGACAGCTCTAATTCACTAGGCTATTGACCACCAAAATCAACTTTAGTAGATGACACTTTCCAGACCCAATAGGAGACAACCACTTTTTTTTCACCACAGCTACTTCTGTGACACAGTCTTTATGTCAGGGGCACCAACATGGACACTAGTATGACAGCCGGTATCTCACATGGCGCCCATAGTAGGTCTCATAAATATCCCCTAAAAAATCCATAATGCATGAAACAGGTTGCACTGGCTCGGCCCCTCCAACATTCAACATGTCCCCTTTAACATGTTCACATTTAATTACATGCCACAATTAGACACCGACTTTGCCACCTGTTCAGAACAGTGTAAAAAGTTTTCTATCTGTGAACAAGCATGGCATTAGCTGTGGTAGGTGCCTTGAACCTCACAGATTTTTTTTTGTGGTGGAGGGGGGTGAGTGTGCCTACAGCATTTTGTGGTTCTGTCTCTATTTTGCTCTTTTAGAAGTAGAAGTCATTTTTTTATTCCAAATGTGCCCGGGTCCCCAAGGGTAAGAGTTCTCTGCTTTATTCCATCACCAACCATAAAGTGTGAACCAACATCTGTGAAAGATGAAAGGTTTCACTAAATTAGGGTTTCTCAAACTTGGGTCCCCAGCTGTTTGTTGGACTACAACTCCAATCATCTCTGACCACTGGTCCTGCTAGCCAGGAATGATGAAGTATGTGGTCTTGAGCAAGTCAATCATCCAGTTCAAATGTAAACTCTAAACAAGGTTTCAGAGCCTGAGCTGTTGCACTAATTGTGTTTTGAATGAATCACTGTTTCTTGTATTCAGACATTACAAAAAAAAAAAAATGTGTTGAAAGTTGTGGCAACCTTTACACTATTTGCATATGCATGAGAAGTGAAAGGGGAGTGCCTAGCCGCCGGCTCACACTGCTCACCTTCATGACAACAAGCCACGGCAATAGTTCCATTCAAACAATATGCCAAATCAGGTTTGGTGTTGCAAGTCTTGGGCTCAAGCATTTCATCCTCCCTTGTTCCATGTGAGGAACAAAATTAGAAGCTTTCATTTCTGGTTTGCAGTAAACAATCATTCATCATTTTATACAAATTTGGCAAACCATAGTTTGCCCACAAACAAGGATCAAATCCCGACTTGGGATCCTGGTTTGTGGGGGAAACTACATTTTTGGGGGTTTGAATGAAACGTGATTTCATTCAGATGAAACACCAAACTGATTTGACATTATAAACACAAGTGGCCTCTGTTCTGATTCCCATGCTTCTTCCTACATGCGCAAGAAAAGAAATTAGAAGTTTCTGTTTTCTGGCAAATAATAATTTTTAGTCTCAGTCTCACCTGTAAAATTAATATGGCTTACTTTAAGAATAACATAGCTGTGAATGTAAACACAAGAAAGACTGTAAAATCTTTCTACATATTAAAAGTGATTTATAAATAGTTTTTACTAGTAACAGTTTCACTGTGTCTGAAGAGAACGTCCCAGTGCAAGAAGCTAAATTTTATAATTTTTGTCTAGCATTTGCTAACATGCGGAAAACAATCATAATGTAAGCAGAACATTGTGTATGATTCTCTAAGGACAGCCATATGCCTTAAGTAGAAATGAGTTTCTTCTAGAACCTTAGCCATTTGCTTCCAATTTGCATATGGTGTTGATTGCACGTAGATACCTTGTTTATGAGATGCTCAGTAACCACTTCTCGTAGTCCAGTGTATAGTTTCTCGCCATGTTTATGTAATACCATAGTATAAGCATTCCTATAGAGTTCCTCAAAGCTGAGACCACTGTTGTTCTTACGCTGAATCTCTTGAATTGCGTTTTTCAGAAGATCCCAAATGCTGTTCACATATTTTTCATCCATAGTCATCTGCAAAGGCAAAGAAAAATACTAATTCAGAAACTACTCTGATTAGGAAGTTTCAAAATTATTTCCCTTTCAAAACTGTTGCACATTCATAACCCCAAATATATGTGATTATCAGAAGCTCTGTTCCAAGCTGACAGGTGAGTCAAGCCCGATACCAGATACATGACTAATTTTCCAGCAGTTTGTATTAACAGATCTTCACACTGCACAAAACTCTGTAAGATATCAGACACTCTTCTTTGCAACACACACCACTGATTCACATGTGTTTTATTATCACTTGATGACTGATGTTGTCTTGCAAACATAAGTAAGCTATCACAGACACAGAACTTTTATCTTACTTCAAATACAACCTTTTCCAGAGGAATCAGTTCACACATTCAGCTACAAACTATCAATCACTGAGTAATTATGATGCAAAAGTAACCATGTCAGTTTCACTAGACAATAGGATCTCGCGGGAAATATACTGTATTTAAGTATCACTGCAATTTCCCCTCCCCCACACTATCATGCATATTACCAGTGAGCCTTGCACTGCTGGTGCGATCAGGTGTTCAGCTTACTGTTAGTGCATTACTAGTCCAATGTGTAACAAAAGCTACTGATCTGAGTCACTGCTGAATCATTTGTTTTTTGCTTACTGAAATATGCCTATGGCAATATAAATGTCTCAAATACACTTAAAGAAAAGCTAAATGTTTTTATACTTTCACATTACCAACTACTCTATTTATCTGGGAAACAACCTTGGCTGAAACGTAGGGTAACAAAGTAAGAAAAGCAAGACATATTAGATAATTTACACATGCAAGATTAGTAGTAAATCTTGTTATACCTTGCAAATAAAGGTATAACCCTGGACAAATCATTAATGTAATGCTTTACAAATGCTTTAGTAAGTGAAATTAACAGGAGGGCTTTTTATTTATGTATGAAACCCAATTGTTTAATGATAAACCATAGATTAAGGCAAAAATCTTCAGCCACCTCAGTTAATAGTCATCATTCATACTCCAGTAATACATAAATATGTTAATAATAAGCATAACCACCTACAATGACTTTCAGATATAGCCTGATGCTTTAAAGAAATCCCTCACTGCTGTTTTAGGCATATTTCCAATTAATTTAAATAATACTAATAGCATTACTCTTCAAAACCATATTGAAATGGCTGTCTCATCACTATACTATCGAGTAGCCTACTAGTTCAATCTCCAATATGATTCTAAATCACTGGTCATTTCGCAATACTAATGCTGTCCTCAATTATGTGTTAGGACTGCAAAGTTGGAAGATTTTTTAAAACATGCACAATGAAGGTTATAATAAAAAAACTTTTAAAGTCTAGCTAGATATCTTGGAGAACCATCTCTCATCTTACTAAGCCAATATATAATCAAGCTTTCTGTCCAAGCAGCAACTGAACCAAGAAGTCCCTAGTTAATCACAAATTGCAATTTCATACAAGTAGGAAGCTATGGTTTTCAGTTTCAGAAGAAGCCAAAAGTCTAACTTGACCCAATGAACCCAGTACACACAATCAAACCCTGGCTTTAATAAGCCATAACATGTAAGATATTCATACACATACTCATATCCTTGCTGCTCTTCCATGTGCAAAACCAGTGAAAGAATGGAGCAGTTATGTGCAAACTGAGCTTCCCAAAAAGCCAAAAATCAAAAGGCAATGCATTAAGATAGGATTTGATCATGTTTTAGGATTCTGGCTTGTCCTAAAACTGATAACCATGGTGTTCAGTTTATGCAAAACAAAAAACTATAGAAACTTCTGCACTGCATTCAGGTGTGCTGAAAAGGGAGGAGCAAATGGACTGTTTGAACCTGCAAGAGGCTTGTTTGTATCTCACCTTATAAAGCAGTAAGACCATCATCTGAACTGGGCCACTGCATCACTTCTGAACAGATTGAGTCCATTCACTTTTTAAATTATTAGTTCAGAATCTCCAATTCAAGGAAGTCAAGATAAAAGCTAACAAAATCAAAGTTGTACAGTGAAATGAATAAAACTTTTATGCAACCAATGTATCTTGACAAAACAGCAGAGATATAATAGCCATCAAATTTCTAAAGGGCTATCACATGGAAGATGGAGCAAGCTTGTTTTCTCCTGCTCTGGAGGGTAGGATGTGAACCAATGGCTCCAGTTACAAGAAATGAGATTCTGACTAAACAACAATAAGAACTTTCTCATGATAAGAGCAGTTTGACAGTGGAATTGACGTGGTGGACCCTCTTTCATTGGAGGTGTTTAAGCAGAGGTTGGATGGCCATCTGCTATTGATGCTTTAGCTGAGATTTCTGCATAGCAGGGGGTTCAACTAGATGACCCACAGAGTCTCTTCCAACTCTACAGTTATAGGATTCTATGAATAGCCAAAGAAGCACATCATGCTAGCTTCCAAATGTGTCAGAATAAAACTGTTTTCACTGATTGGCTAAAAGTATACAATGAAGGATCGAAGCTGGTCTCTGTAGGGAATTGGCTCCAGAATTGCAATACCACTACAGAAGAGGCCCTATCCTATCCATCCACAGTTCAACTTCTGGAGGATATGAGGCCCAACAGAATCTTACTGCCTGACCTTAACAGACAGGAAACTTATAATCAAAAAGCATTCCCTACAGTACACTGAATTTGAACTTTAAAATTTGGGAGAAACTCTATACTACACTTTCCCCCATCCTCTTAAAAGCATTTTAGAGCAGAATGATGCAACCCCAATTTGAAAGAAATTCCATCTAGCAAAATATTGCCTGCTCTATCTCATATTGGACACATTACCTGTTGCATTTCCACCAATTAATTTGAACCCGTTTCCATTCTAGTTTTGTATAATGATCAGAGCCAAATAGAAACTACTTCAGAATTCAGCAGCAGCAAACATGTCTATCCGAAAATATATGCCAAGGAAATGGCTTGGGTCAATATTTAACTAGTCAACTCAAAGACCGTTTTGACCGGTCAAATGTTTAACTTACCAATTCCCATTTGTATACAGCTGTTTTGAATCAGACAATATGATATAGCAGAAAGGGAGGACGGGTGCTTGTATTAAGTGGGACCAAAACTGCATAGCAATAAGCTACTCACTGTTAAAACATGCAGATAGGAAAAGCTTTCATGACATTGTTTTTCCAGGAACCACCATTCCTTTTACAAAACAAATGTTTTAAAGTCCAAAGAAAGTAGCAAGACTGCCCTGAAGTACCATTTCAGCAGGTATGAAATGACTTCCAGTTACAAATTTCCTGGCTATTAATGCTGTGCTGGATGAATTGGGAAGGATGAAAAAAAGATGCAGAGGCTTCTTCCACTTACAAGTGGAGCTAATGATCAATTTGACATCAACACTTGTATATCATAACTAAGTCTACACTTTCTGCATTTTCATTATATTATTTTATGATTTCTGCTTATATGTAAAAAAGAAAATACCACTTCTAGCTCAAGCAAGGTACAAACACTATGCTACAGATAGACAGACAGATAGATATCTTACCTAAGTGAAGAAAGTAAATAGAGTGGTACCTCGGGTTACAGACGCTTCAGGTTACACTATTAGGGGTTGTGCACTGCGCTGAACCCGGAAGTACCAGAACGGGTTACTTCTGGGTTTCGGTGCTTCACGCATGCGCAGAAGCGCCAAATTGCGACCCATGCGTGCGCAGACGTGGCGCTGCGGGTTGTGAACATTGCGGGTTGCGAATGTGCCTCCCGCACAGATCACGTTCACAACAAGTTGTACTGTTTGTTGTAAAAATCAAAACCCTGCACACGATAGCTTGGGTTCTGACACAATGCTAAGTTTCATACTACAATAATGAGCTTGGTTACCGGTAGGTAGCTGTGTTGGTCTGCCATAGTCGAAGCAAAATAAAAAAATTCCTTCCAGTAGCACCTTAGAGACCAACGTTATTGGTATGAGCTTTCGTGTGCATGCATACTTCTTCAGATACACTGAAACAGAAGTCCATGTGCTTGGGTGAGCCATGAGTGCATGCATTATTCTCCCCTTAACTCACCTGGAGCAACTAAAAGGAGACTGGAAGCAACTGCTTTTGTTTTCACCTAACCAACCACAGTTTGTCTAGGTCAGTACTGGGATGAACTGTGCAGAAAGACTTAAAATCATGGATTACAATCCTGGCTTGGATTGTAGCTCCCTTTCAGACATAACAAACCATGGTTAGTTGAAGCAAAAACAAATGCTTCTTATAGCCTCTGCATGATCACGCCAGAGGAAGAGAGATGAGGGGTAGCAGGCACATGGATATAACACAAAATTATTATTTTATTATAAATCAACGAGTTCAGCTACCATATATTTACGTGATCAGATCCTCTTTAGTTGGTAGGTTCCCAAAAGAATTAATTTCTTTTGGCTTGTAAAATTTTTTGCTTTAGAATAATGAACAAAATGTTTTAGACGAGGCATTCATACTTCACTAATCCAAAATTATTTCTAAAACTGTGTAACAAAAAGAGTTTTATGTACAGAATTAGATCATCACAACTCCTGTACATTAGAGGACAAACAAGTCCTGAGTAGTATACTGAGAGTATAATTTTCAAATGCAAGAGCAAGGTGCATTCCAATACTGGAAGGGCAATGCCATTGTCACAAGGAAAGAAAGGAGGCAATGCATTATTTGATTGTGCTTTCCTCTTGTTGGCATAGCTGGTGGATCTGTTTCTGTCCTCTTTACTATGTCTCAAAGGAGTGGGAGAAAGTACAGAGCAACATAATTTTGTTGCCATCAAGTTCATGTTGTTGCAAAACTGTCAGATCCAAGATTCAAAGGTAGAAATGTAAATGATGATAGCACTGCTTCTGCATTTGACTGGCTTACAAAACAGGCTGCAGATTTAGGGAAAGGTACTTTCAAATGTTGCAAAGCACAGAACATCTTCAAGTATTTGGCCAAGGAATGCACTCTGGGATTCTGCCAAGCATATCCCTCATGTAACA